TCAGGAGCTCCGTGGCTTCTCAGGCACTTGTAACTTGAGAAAACTGCTTGAAGTTAAACAAAAAAATAAATAAATTGTCCTTTAATACATTTGCAGGCGTCTGAAACTCGGTTCTCTTTGGCTACGCAATGTAACTTTAACGAGCTGGTGTTTTATGTTCCTTTCCCGGACGTTTGCTGACTAAGTTATGTGTGTGAATTGACCCTTCCTTAAAAACCAGGGAGGGCTGCGGGCGAGCTGCCCGGGCTCACCTGAAGGAGCTGCTATTTTTTTTTTTCCAAGTGTGAGTAATTTCATATCTCAGCAATTACGTGGTTTGCACGGTGCCCACACTGCATCTGGAGTGTTGTTTGCTTTTGAATTCTGTTTTATTAACAAATTGTTATGTTTGTAATTGTCAACAACAAATAAGGACAGCAAATAGCCAATAGAAATATTTTAGAGTTTTTGTACTAATTACTAAATAAATTTTTGTTACTTGAAGTACAGTATGTTTTACATAGATTTCAGCAAACGCTTTTGCTGTTGCTGAGTGCTTTGTGCAAGACCATAGGTATCAGCTCAGTATCCCTCAGAAAGCTAAACGATCTGCTTAAGAATCAGCAAGTCTGGATTCTTACCATGTCACAGACTCATTCCCTTATCTCTATGAAATCTGATCCCTTCTCTGTGTCCTGATTTATGCTATCTGTTAAATAAAAAGGGCCCTCTCCTCTGCAAACCATAGTCAAAACTGGATAATACAGATTATTATATATTATTATTATTATGAGAAGCTTGTTGTTGTCATAGCTCCTGATATTGGAAAATAAATTTAACCACTGAAGATTTAAAATGGGTTAAAATTACAGGTACACTTACCTGCTTTGGGGAAGATGAGAGGAGCAATGAAAATAGAAATTAATCCAAACCCCTTCCCTCATTAGAGGAAGAAACTGAAGGTCAATAACTCATTTTGTTCTTGAAGTGTCCTTTGGAGTAGAGATGTGTGAGCTTTCTGTCATAACTAAGCTGCAAGTGACTAATAGTTCTCTTTCCTTTGTTATTTAGTAAGTTTCAGGGAAAGATTTGGAACAATTAACTGTCCTGAAATGTGCAAAACAAAATAAGAAAAACTACCTCTCCTGAAGCTTTTGTGAGGTATATTCATTGTTAAGGTCTGGTATACGGGTGCATTGAACGCTGTATTGTGGAAATGACAAAAACGTGCGCAGTCATTTCTTATTACTGGAAAGCATCTAATATTTTCTCTCATTTTTCAGGATCAAGCAGAACATTTCTTTAGAAGTGGACATACAAATAACTGGGCAGTTTTGGTAAGCGTGGTTCAGGTTGTTTTCTTCAAATAAAGTTGACAGTTTTTCGTCATGAGCCATAACTCCAACAGTCACTGAAGAGTTCTGTTCATTTGAAAGAAATGGAAATGCAGACACTTGGAAATTAATAAATTTGAAATTGTGTCTGCAAATTTATTACACTATAATAAATTTATCTTTTTAGTAAGAGTGCCATTCAGGCACTCAAAATGTCTAGCTTTATTGGCAGGATTAATAAAGTTCTGATAGCATTAAAACAGCTAAATTCGTGTACTGCATATTGAAATGTGTAATTCTGATATCAGTGAAGTATACGTCTTTGACCAGAAAGGTACAATTTATTTCTGATTTTTGTTCTTACTCAATCTGTTAACTTGTGATAACAGGTTTAGAATAAAAAAAATAATTGGGCAACATAATGTTTAGCTCAACTGTTCTTATCCTATTTTGTTTCCATGAATCTTTTATTAGATTTGAATCATGCCGCACAATTGGTTCTTAATCACAATTCAGGTCTTAATGACTAATTTGTTTCAGAACACTGTTGTAATTACTCAGTAGCTGCTGTTTGTTTCCCAGATACTAAAATTGAACAATATAAAAGGAAAGTTAACAGTAATTAATTGAATTAGAAGGAATAATTTCTATATTCTACAATGTAATTTCTATATTCTACAATGTACAAACTCAGAGCTAATTAAGTGTCAAGTACTACTTTGACATTATTAAAAAATAGTTATTTTTATTAGTACCCATAAAAACATGCAAAGAAGGTAGGAAAAAATAGGTCCAAGGAGCTATACTTCTTTTCCTCAGCAGAATATGTGCTGATTATGGTTCTGCAGTTCATGATTAAGCTTTATAACAATTGCTAGTAATTTTTTAAAGAGTAAAATAGGGAGGGGTTTACAGCTGTCAGGCATTTAAAGCCTGGAATCCTACTGGAATCTCACCTCATCAGTAGTTTGAATTAGTATACTGCAGTGTGAATAGCTATATTGAAAACACAGACAAATTTTTAACTGTGCTGTAAGGGAGGTAATGGAGAAAGAGGACAGATGATAACACCTTCAAATGTTACAGCTAGATTTGCCACAATTAGTCTTCAGAGCTTTAAATCTTGCTGAAATTGCCTTTCTTATGGACTTATTCCCATTAAAAAAAAATCTTAAATGCTTGTTCCTGATGGTTTTTTTGTTTGTTTGTTTTAAAATCACCTCTTCTAAAATGCTTCTTCCTTTATCTGTTTCAAGACTTGTAAAAGCAAAGGAAAATTTGTCTCCAACGGAGGATTGCTGTCATTGGTGTGGAATAAACAAAATATAGTGAACTGAAGTTAAACATAAGGACAATGAAAAGGCTAGTAAGGGACTGCAGCAGATTGCCTCTGAAGTTTTTTGACATCTCATTGTTTTGAGGGTTTTGAGGACAGATTAAATGATACCTGACCTAGGGAATAAATTAAGTACAGGAGTGTCTGATTCTCAACCCTTTGCCTGTTAGGACAGTAGAACCTGAACTCGTTTGAGATTTTTGAGAATTTGTGTTCAGTTCTTGGTTAGAGCTCTTAATTTATTATATCTGACTCCATGAATGCCAACGTCCTCACTATATTTTCCCCTGTGTCTGCATGAAGTCACTGATGCTTGTGTGCAAGAATGCTCCCAGAATGGGTTTGCTGTTGAAATGAGAACTCCTCCTTTGATTTTTCTTCTGTCTGATACGAAGAAGATAAATGAAAAAAAATAGCTTATACACTTACTATTGCTGAATTATTCCCTAAAGTACCATTTTCTATACTTAGTTGGGTTTTATGATAATTTTTTCATGAATAAGTATGTTAAGAACTCTTTTTAACTTCTATTTTCAACATTTGTTGCTTTGGTACAACAAAGTTTTTTATAGCTATATCACGAGTTTCATGGTGTTGCTATGTTCTTTCTGTTTTGTTACTCATTTGTTGATATTCCTGTAATCATGGTCTTCTGATGCAATGTGCCAGGCCAATTTATATCTTTTACACTATTTAATATACTGCCTTTTTTTTTTTTTTTCCTTCAAGGTGTGTACATCTCGATTCTGGTTTAATTATCGTCATGTGGCAAATACTCTTTCAGTATACAGAAGTGTCAAGAGATTGGGCATTCATGATAGGTAAGGGAATCTTGATGAATACACTTCTTTGAAAATGTGCTATTAAAGTTTTCTTGTTGTCTGAAGCGGTATAAAAATACATTTCTCTTCCCAGTGCAATTGTATAACAGTAAAAAGGAAGGATGCAATCACATGAGTGCATTGAAAATGTAGCAATACTGTTCAAAAAGAACAGAAACGAGTTATACAATAAAGCTTCCAGTTGGAGTAGACTAATTAGATTAAAAACATGAGGCTACTAAAATGTACCACTTAGTAAATTGGTGAAAGCATAATGTGAAAACTGATAAATGCATTCACCAATGACAATACTCTGAGATACAGCTTTTGCTGTACTTTGATTTCCTTTCAGTGTGGAGATGTCAGTTACCATAAGTGTACTAAAATGTAAGACTTCCATATCTGTGACTAGACTGAGAGTCTCAAAACTAAAGGCCCTGAACAAAGCAGCTTCTACATATTCAAAGTAGCCTTGAGCAATTCATTTTGCATGATGTTTTGAGAGAATGCAGAAGCTTTGTCCATTCATCTTGTGGTTCTCTAGTGATAGCACAGTAGTTAAAACGGTCTCCCTTCTTTGGTAACAGAATTAGGAAGGTGAACAAACTGTTGTGTCTTTTAGTTGTATTGCTATTGGAATTCTAGGGGTATTGGCACAGTTCCATCCAGCTGTTTTGGAATTTACTTGTACCACAACTGTGGAACTGATTTTTAGGCACCAACATCCATTGAGTAACAGGCTATGTGTATCCATAGGCTCCCATGGAAATCCTGTTAATCCTGGTTCTTGATGTAAATTTAGAGGACTAGTAGTTTCTCCAGCATGTCTGCCTAAAGAAATACAGCCCACTTCATCATGGCAAAATGCACATTCCACTGGATTTAATTTGTATGGGATTTTTTGTTCAAGTCCAAAACTAGTAACTGTAGTCCCCACTGAGCTACTGCTCAGCTGTGAATCCAGTGGCAGTATCATCTTGTTTCCTGTGTGTGTTTTTAAAAAGACAAGGGTGACTTGGTCTTTGAAAGAGAGGATGTTGAAACATAGTTTTTGGAAGCATTTGGGGGCTGCAAATCCAAGGGAATGTACTGCCTAAGCACTGTGGGCTGGAAGTCACAGAAATACAGCTTTTTCCTTTTGCACATATTGTTCAGAAGCATCTGTCTTCTCTGCTGTATAACCTTTGAAGTGTAGGCACCCTAGGCAATACCTTAGAAATTCTTTTACTAGTTTTCCCCTTGCCTGAGAACTTTGATCTTCTCTGCATCCATCCATCTTCACCATTAAGGTCAAAATAGGTAGCATTTTCAGAAAATACTGCAAGAACTACAGCCTGGCTGGAGTTTTCTGTTGTTCAGTAGCCTGATCCATTTCTTATCCATACCCAAGGATCTGGAAATTAAACTCAAAAAGCCAACAGTGCTTTAGACTAAGGTCAAGAATAAGATGTTAGAGAAGATCTAGAAAGACCCTATTTTTTTCCTATTTATAGTAGCTTTAAATGAATTTGAACACCTTTCTCCCTTAGACAAACTCCTTCCTCTAACTTTTTCTCTCTTTGCTGCAAAACTTCATTGAAAATATTGATAAGACAAAAAAAGCCAACCCACCCCCAAATAACCTCTTAAATATAAAGATTTGTCATGATTCTTGGGTTTGCTTCTTTTTGGAGGAGTTTGTGAATAGCCTGATCATAAATGGAAGTGTGTCAATTTAGTGATTTAAATAGAACTGTCCTCCAGCAACAGAACTTGTTAGGAAAATGTTTTCTGGTTTTGTAACTGTAAGTTGCTCTGGTTTATTGACAAGTGAACACAATGCTCCAATTACTTTTGCTAAAATAAAGCCAAAATGAATCCTCAAATTCTTTTTGATTCCTGGAATAATTATGCAGTATGTTTTACGTCATGAAAATGGCGTTAATACATAGCTAGATTACTTTGGTTTAACAGTTAAGCTGCAAATTAACACCTAGATTGTCTTACTGCATGTATGAACCACTTTTACACAGTGGTTGTGTTTAACCACATTCAATATTTCATATGCTTTTAAGAATGCCACGTGGTATGCATACTGTATGTTTGTACTGACATGTCTGTATGCAGAACGTTTTACTGAGTGTGTATTGATTATTTTTTTTAATAGATATATTCCTATCAAAAATGAGAGTGCTAAACTGTAGTCCTAGTGATGGCTTAGTCTGATATATTCTCTTCTGAGTATAATACAGAAACTGGGTGTACACCTGGATATCTCAGTAAATCTGCAAGGCATATATTCAACACTTGCTTCCAACTAATTCCCTTTTAATGATACTTGTTTATAAAAATAGTTTTGTATTGATGGGCATGTGTAGAGAAAAAAAAATCTTAATTTTCCTTCTTTTTTAAAATTTTTCTTTTTTTTTTAATTTTTCAGTTAAACTCCCCTAGCTTCTGTCATTAGAGCTTCATATTTATGCCAACTTTTTATTCCTTTTGAAATAATTTACTTTGATTATTTTTGAGGATTTATGCTTATGTTATTTTTGGACAGCACCTCCCCCCCCCCCTTTTTTTTTTGTTAACACAGTGTGGAATATATCAGCATTTAAAGAATAACTCTATTCTTGAAGTACTCAGATCTTAAAGGTCTTTGGTTGCATGCAAGTTGGAACAGCTTTGTACTTTATACTGTGCTGTTTGTTTGGTTTTTTTTGGTTTTTTTTTGTTTGTTTGTTTTGTTTTGTTTTTTGTTTTTTTTTTCTTGGTACTATGAGGTACTGGGTTGTTGTTTTTCTTGTTACTGTGAGGATGACAAAATATTTGGTGTAAGCCCCCTTTTTTTTCCTCAGAAAACTTCCATTAAATGCAGATAATCATACAGTAGTGTATCAGGTGTAATATAATAGTTTGGGAAATGCTCAGGAGCTCCTCAAATTTAATCTAAAATTGTCAGAATGTTTTTAATTGATATGCTTGAGATTGTGCAAACAGGCTGGGACTTCTGTGAAGCTGCATGAAATGATTTAGTGCCCCATAAAAATCTCCAGTTTTTTTTTTAAAGAGTTCTGCCAACCTAAGTGCAGGCAAGTTTGTATTGTAAAGTTGATAGTTTCATCTATTCCCACACTCATCATTGGCCTAACTTCATCCTGTAGATACATAACAGCTACCTGCATTTCCATGTGTGGTATCCTTATGATAATAAGGGTGTCCACAAAGAAGTAGCATATAAGTAAGAAAAGTTTAACTTACAATTCCAGGAATAATCTTAATATTATAAGCTATTGTTATAAACATGGACAGTGTTATTATAATTTCTGTTTCACTGTTATGTGAAAGTAGAACAGCTGAAATGTTTTTTTTTCTTATCTTCCACAGTCACATTGTCCTGATGCTGGCAGATGATATGGCGTGTAATCCCAGAAATCCCAAACCAGCTACTGTGTTTAGTCATAAAAACATGGAGCTAAATGTCTATGGCGATGATGTGGAAGTGGATTACAGAAGCTATGAGGTAACTGTGCTTTAATTAAATCACTAAGGGTTGGTTTAAATATTCATACAGCATCTGTGAACACTGAGGAAGTCCTATTCGCATTACTGGTTTTGGACTGAACTTTTATCAACCGATAGGTTTAAAACACACATGCCACCTCCCCTTGATACTTGGTTCTGTATTGACATTTATTATACTAGAAATGTGTATTGGCAATTAAAATAATGGAATTATTTAAAAGAATGTATGGAAGTCCCTGTATGTGTTAAGAATACACACATAACACTGAAATGTCTCTTTGGAAATGACTGTTCAGTGTCTCATCTTGCAAACAACATCACTGAAACTTTCGGTGTGCAAATGAAATGTTTATTAGGGAAACCTCCTTAAATTTCTAATCTTAGGCATGTCTTTAATGGAAGTAAAGCAAAAGCCGTAACCTAATCGCGACTGTAAAGTAATTACTAGATAGAAATCTGTATTCTGTCACTCTTCTTTGTTTGTGTAATATTTCTTCGAACAGTGTCTTTACCAGTTGATCCTAAATTGGACATTTGCATAGTTTAATAGTGCTATGTAATTACTACTAAAGGTTGTAGGAGCATACTTAAGTAGTAGATGTTTTCTTTCTCTGAAGCTTTGTATTAAGACGTGAAGATACAACCCTGAAGTAGAGATATGTTATTTTATCCTGTTTTTTTCCTGAATATGGATTTGCTGCTAGCATTTGAGCTGTGTACCTCTGCATGAAGAGGAAGTTTTTACAGGATGATTTACAGTCACCATGCAGATAGATCTTACCAGATCACTCAAACACTTAGTAACTGAAATTTGGCTTAGTTTTCCTTTTCTGAGTTGCAGAGGGCATTTAAACTTTTATTTTTCCATGGCAACACACACTGATGTTGGAGCATTTTGTGAGTACATAAGCAGCTTTGGCAGAAAAAAGCTGTATGCTGACAGGTTTTCAGATCAATGAAAATGTATCTAGAAATTATAATGGTAGTAATCTTCCTGGATATAATAAAGCAACAGGGTGGTGTTAGTGGAATAAAGTAGAAGGTACCATATGATTGTGAACTTGCAGTGAGATCATAAACAGCAAATGTCTGTGTAATTTATACCATACAGTGTTACATCTGGTTAGATAAAATTTTAGTGTTGCATGTTACCTGGCTTAGAGTTGTTAATCAGTATTTTTCTGTTTAGAAAACTACTTTATGCTTCTCTTCATAGGTTACTGTTGAAAATTTCTTGCGTGTATTAACAGGAAGAATCCCACCAAGCACACCGCGATCTAAGCGTCTTCTTTCTGATGACAGAAGCAATATTTTAATATATATGACAGGTAATTACTGATTTCTGTGTACAATTTACTGTTGTTTGTTGTTCAGTTGAATAGGCCTGTTTGAAAGCATGAAATCCCATCGGGAGTCCAAACAAACAAAAGGATCAACAAAAGGATTCTTTTCATTTTTTAGCATGTCATACTAATTAAGAAAAAAACCTGTAAAGCAGTACTTAGCAATTGCAGTTTCCAGTTTAATGATGTATTTGTACTGTTCTTAGTGTACTAATATTTTCTTCTGCTGAAGTCTGTTTGAAGAAAGAGAAGTGTGTTTACCTTTTTAGAAAAATGGTCAACCGGGCTGAATATTTTCCTTCAACCTACATATGTAACTAAATTCTGATTTTTCTGTCAGGCCATGGTGGAAATGGTTTCCTGAAATTTCAAGATTCTGAAGAAATCACAAACGTAGAACTTGCTGATGCCTTTGAACAAATGTGGCAGAAAAGAAGGTAAGAAAAAGCATTATTTAGAGGTAAAATGCTGTATTTCATGAACATGCCTGGAGTTTTACTGGCAGTTACAGCTGCTCAAATGCTTTGTTTTGACTAAACTTGCATCTTACAATCAGTTGGTGTGAACTCTGCTGTTCCTTAGGTTCCGAGTAGCTGGCCTGGTAACTATAAAGCAAAGTATGTATATATTGTCTAAGGAGACATGGATAAGAAGGCTGTTTTATTTCTTTCAGGTACAATGAATTGTTGTTTATTATTGATACTTGTCAAGGAGCATCCATGTATGAACGCTTTTATTCACCTAACATAATGGCCTTGGCTAGCAGCCAAGTAGGAGAAGATTCTTTATCAGTAAGTAGATTTTTGTGATCCTGAAGACAATTTTCAGAATGCTTGAGTTAAAAGCACAGGTCTTACTGACTTTTAACTAAAAATTTCCTTTGTAATTGATGAATGTGTAAGGTGTTTAGTTACAAAGTATGGTTTTGACAAAACTTGTAGGTGTACTTTTCCTGCTTATTCTTATGCACTGTCCCAAAGAACCAGGTTAATGATGGATTTCTGCTTGCTGCCCAGTTTTGTGCATTGTCTTTTTATGGGAAGACTGATGAGAGATACGTGTGGAGAATATTCAACCTAGGACTCCTTATGCTGGATATAGAAGAAAACTACCTGCTACCTTTCAGCTGCTGTAGTTATATCCCAGCTGAATTACAGGAATGACAGGGGAGAGGTTGTAGTTACACCAACACCAGCAGGTCAGGATTACTTGAACCTGTGCAGTGCTGTAAGATAGTCTCTCCTAGCCCTGTTTTCCAAGGTGGAAGAAGCTCAGGGCAGTCCAAAAATCTGTATTGGACCATTGAGAAGAGAGAGTTCCCTGCTTTTTGGCAAACGTGGAGAAAAATTAATTATTGATTTTAGCATCAATCTGCTTTTTCATGGCTAGTCATTTTCTTTGCATAATTTGCCTAATAAAAAAACCCCATGCTTAACTTTTGTCACATGCTAATACTTCCTGTTCCCTCTCCCTAAATACTGAGTTCTCTCCTGCAAATGCCCAGTGACTCCTGTGTGTTGTTTTTAAGCATCAACCCGATCTTGGGATTGGCGTTCATCTCATGGACAGATACACGTTCTATGTGCTAGAGTTCTTGGAAGAAATTCACCCAGCCAGCCAGACAAATATGAATGACCTGGTAAGTAGAACACTCAATATTCATGCATATCCTAACAATTTTAACAGTTTTAAAACTGATTTATTTTGACTATAGGGTTCTCCAAATGCATTTTGTTCTCCTGTTGTTTCTTTCAGAAGTGGCTATCCAGGGAGGGTTTTTTTCCCTTTATTGAATGTAATCATAGTGTAACTTCAAGGATTATCCTCAGTGTGAAAGTGGTTTGCTGTCCACAGAAAAAAAATAATCGAAATTATTCAGGATTTTTAAAAATTCATTGAAAAATGAATTAAGTATTAATTAAATATTAATTTCAGTAGAATGAAGTATTTGTGTGTGAAAAGAGATAGTAGGAAGCTTCTAAAATAAGCCAAATGGACAGCAGATACTTTGTAGATATGGAAAGGCAGCCGTAGATATTGTTTTGCAAAGGTGGTTAAACAGTTAAAATTCTGTGTGCATTCACAAATACCTGCAGAGACTAATTTTTGTGTATATCTGCTTAAACTCCAGAGCAAGATATGTCCAAGCCCATCAGTGTTTGGAGTTAATTATATCTTAGTTAAATATTAATTGTAGCTTTTGGGTATGAACCAGGAGGGAAAAACAAACAAACAAACAAACAAAACCACAAAAACGAACAAGCAGATAAACTTTGACAAAATCTGTTAGAAGTGGCAGTTAGATGTATACACTGGTGAGATGATATAAAAAATAACTGTATTTACCCTGTTAACCCTTTATACCTGTTCCAGTACTAGTTTCATTGTAGTAATACATTATACTTTGGTGCCTTGTAGCTGTGAATCCTGACATGCTGTGTCAACGATCTAAGAACCAGCACTTCCAGAACACATTGCTTTTAAATCATTCTGTAAAAGGAGCAGTTGCTCTGAAGTTCTATGCCACCCTCTGTCTACAGAGGATGGTGTTAGCCTGGCTGCTAGATGTGTAGTGGAATTCACTCTAAGCAGCCCACACTTAACAGATTTTATGTTGATACAAAATTGGTTCAGTGACTAAGTTTTTGAGATTCTTTTACTACTGTGGAAATCAAATTCTCTCCTGTAATTTAATACCTCTGATCATGGGATAACTTTAAATTTCATTAAAGAAGAATATGCAAGTTCTTTAATGATTAATTATCTTCTTCTAGCCAGTTTACTCAAACAGCACTTCACAACTTTAATCTATAAACCAGAAAATGAATTACTCTTAAAAAAGTATTAAGAAAATGATGTGGTTTCTGCTGTATAAGACACCATCTTGGAAGTGGTATAACTGGACTAACCAGTTAGATGTTAATCCAGTTGTGAAAAGTGTAGAAAACTTGTTAGCTGGCCAAGTTGTTTAGCTTTTGAGCTCTTTTGAGAAAATATCTAAACACTTTCCCTTTTTTTGTTTTTGCTGATACACAAAATACTCAGGAAGAGCTGTGGGAAGTTATCCCATGCTGGTAAATATCTTTATGCCATGTAAGTCACCCTATCATCCATCCATCCATCTCTTACTGTTCTCATATTGAAAGGGAAGAGACCTAAATACATCGTTATTTAGGATGATCATGTACTGAGTCATAACATGCATGTAGTTCATCAAATGTGACCTCATGATTTCAAGATGGTGCTATTCAGGGCTTCATCTATGAGTTCCAGAAGGACATACAGTTAGTCTATGTAAGAATGTAAGCCCATTTACTTGGCAGTGGTTATGGGGGGTACGTTGGCACTGGAATGCACTGTTAATGTTGTACTGGTTTAAAAACAAAAACCTACTGCTTATACAAGTCTGGTGGGTTTTTTTTGTTTTGTTTTAAATGAACACTTTGCAAGCTCAGGATAATGTGTTAAGTGGCTTACTAACTAGCTTTAAAAATATTAGCTAATATTTAGTTGTTTGGTCTTCCGATATATCAGATGTCTGCTTTTTTAGAAGAAGTGTATTTGTTACACCACTTTTATCCCATCACGTCTTTACTTTTCTCCAACCACTCTTAAAACAGCTTCTCTTCACATGCACCTACGATTTAAAT